AATATAATATATATTTTCTGCGTAAACAGACCATTTTCACATTTCTTCACAGATGCTATCACATATTATATGGCTTCGTGATTCAAAATATCGACTAATGAGTATCATTTCTATGGTTCAAATAGCTGAATTATAACAATCTAACACAACATGGCTATATAAATGCTGAATTGCAAAGCCTTCGTTAAGGTTGAGTGGAAGTCCTAAATCTCCTTCCATTTTCCACGGACAATTTTAACCAACCGATAACCGACCAATATCCAGGTGAAAACCACATCCGAGCGAGTTTGAAATGTATTTCAAGGGGATAAAAATTTCCTTCACAATGTCTGCAGTAATATAAACTGCCAGTGGCTCTCCAAAGCAGTCAGTGTGCAGTTAAACACATTAGGATTTATCAGTACTTCAACAGTATTCCGCAGGAGGTCATTTTCAGTTCACAAGCAGTTATAAACCAAAAAAATGTCGGGATAATCTGTATAGTGTGAGAAATGAAGCATGCGGGATCTAAGATTTACCATCGAATGAAATGCAACCACCAGGATATATTCATTATTTCTTGAATTTTTCGGATTGATGGGAGCTTCGCAGTCAGTGATTAGGATTCGACTATCGGTATAAGGGTGATATTTGATATTTGGAGATATGCCACAAGAGAAAGTATGGAAGTTTCGCAAGGTCCTCAGATTCCTAGGTAAGCAACCTCAACCTATTCCATATAGACATACCAAGTATTTTCGGGATTTTTATGCTGTAGGGAATTAAAGCAACAGTTCACCAGCTGAAGTTACAGCACTACTCGAACCCAAGCCTAAAATTGCCAATCAAAAACAAATACAGTCAGTGGAAGTCCCTAGATGTAGCTCACAAAGACAGGTCAACTGAACCGACATACTTAGAGGAGTAGCTTGTGGGAAGTCTACAGAACGACAGAATATTCGAAGGCACAGAGCGATTAAAGGGTTCAGAAGAGTGAGACGGGAGACCAGGTATGAACCATATTCATGTCATCCTTGCAATGTTTGAGGCTCTATGTTGAATGGTATTGGGTGATGGATGTCTTTCCGTGTGTTGCGCTAGGTTTCCCAGCGTCACTTACTCACCACCGTGCTTTCAAAATCAAACGCTCAAAACTCATGACTCCATTCTGCAAAAATGTGCTTTGTCGGTCGATAATTTCGATAATCGTTTTGACCGAATTTCGTTTAAATGCTATCAGTACCGCCGTTCATCTACTGACGGTGAATCCTGCTTTCTTGCAATTCTTTGATATCCGTTACCATTTCCTTGGTTGACAGACAGTTCATGCTGACTTTGGATGAGATCATAACACTGCATGATTAAGGGGAGAGATGTTGTGCTTCTTGTGAGTTTCCACCACCATGGACCACTTGCTTGGGTCAAATCCACCAAGAGGATAACCTTCAAATCACCATTGATCTATTCTTGTCACGGTTGCCAGAGTTGAGGTAAGTGCAACCGGGTGGTTAATGCGTAGATAATACTAAGACAATAAAGAGACGTACAGCAGCCACACGCTTCTTCCGCGAAATTACACTTAGCTACTTTCTCTGTATAATTATAACACAGCCAAATGTTGTTAAAGGCCAACTGGCTCAGTGTCAAACAAACTTGCGAATTTTTTCTGCCCACACTGTCCATTATCGAAAGACGGAGCTACGATGTGGGTGCTGACTTTTCAATGCAACTGCCAAATGGCTTTCTGATACCTTGAACAAACCACGGTGAATCCGAATTACCTCTTCACAACCAGACTTATGAGAAAGTAAGACCATTCCTTCTGGACATAAACTTTCATCCAGCACTTTTAATCTGCTCCTTTTCTATTCATTTTTAGCCTTGTTTATCAAAATACCTCAATTAAACGCTTTCCATAATTTTTTGTATCAGCGCCACATAGGGAAAAAGAGTGAGAAAGTACTTCAAACTACGTTTTATCAACCAGCTCTTATTTGAGATATTCTCTATCTCATTCATAAATACCTGAAATCTCCAGTGATGCATACCTCCTTTCTCACTCGGTGAATTCAGTGGTCTAGTTACTCCTATGCGATTTTACAGAAAGCAAGTCGGTGGGTATTTAATACACAGTCATAAATCTCAAAATACCTTAGATACCTTTTCGTCTCCACATGTAAGCAGACTAAAATGCCTCCATGACTGCTGAGCTTTACTGTTAGTGTGGGTTCGAAAATAAGAAATCCCAGTAAGATTTGGGCAAATGAAGTAGTACAGCGGTATCAGTCATTCCGAAAATGCTAAAGGCTTGTGTTCTGCTCTGAAGTACTTGTCAAATTCTAAATGTGGTGTTTGATAAAACACGCCTATAGATTCTAGTTATCACCACCACACTGATGACGCGGCGTCTAGATTTCTCCATAGTTGGTACACAATGTGATGCGTCATAAATTTTATCCGTTTCTAGAACGTAAAGGAAATGAAACGATTACACAAGAATAACGATGCAAAACTCATTTAAAAAGATGAATCCTACCGAACATTACTGGCGGGCAGAACAAAGTGAAATATTATACATACAAATAAAACGATAGAATACGACAGCCATCCAAGGTCGACACCAACTGGTGGAGTTTTACATTAGTATAACCAGTGACCACGTGATTAGCATGACAGATAAGGTCAGGTCATATTGATTGGCTGGCTGTCATAAAATCCTTTTTTGCGATTAACATTTCGAGCAAATAGATGCGCACTCCAAAATTGTTGTTATACTTAAGTGCTGGAAAAATTAGATCAGAGTCGCCATGTGTTTAGTGAGTAGGGAATTTGTTCGCTGCACACTAAACACTTTCCACTTCTCCGTACGAGCACAGGCTTCACAAACAGAAATGAGAAAATGAGGGCAAAATTGGCAGACTTAATAAAGTGGTAGTGGGAAGTGCAGGAAGAAAGTATATTCTTCTCAATAGCGAGCACACTTTGTGGAAATGAAATATCAATATAGGCCTGTTTGTTCACGTAGGGATATGGTTAAGGGTGAAAGCAGTATTTGAACTGAAATTTGGATCTGAAAAAGATAAAAGCAACGGCAGATATAGGTTTTTCGCATGTTGGGTGGTGTTATTATCACCATTCCAACGTATATGTCAAATAAGTTGTTCCACTTCTTAATCTTTCACGAATACAAAATCTGAGTAGGGGAGATCAGTATTGGAGCGACCACAGAAGCATGAGTACAACTGATATTTTCTCTGTCTAGACTTATGCTTCGGAACAACAGAGGAACTAACGGTATCAGAGATGCGAATAATGTGAACCTGAAAACTGCAAAACTTTCGCTGACACTAAATTGACTGTTAAAAGGGCTCCAGTGAAATTATCAAATATTTTAAAAAGCATTACACTAAATTTTGTACACTGTACTACTATGTGGACGTTATTTTCTCGGAAAGATGACCGAACACAGTTACTAAGGTTAAAGTAGACGCTTGAGACATAACTTTATAAGAAGCAGAAGGAATACTGTATGTTTAGAGTTCTGAGAAATCCTCAACTTCCACAAGGCTTATACAAACAAACGTTGTGTGGGATATGGAAGAAAGTATACGATCGTTTAGACCTTCCCGAAAGATCACACCTGAATTTCAAATGCAAGGTTGCAGCCACATGTGTGTGCTTGGCTCAAGAGACAAAATTAGATTCTGCAGAATGTGAAAATCTCTTGGATCAATAAAGCTAGCTGGTACACTAGGAAACCAGTTTGCTAAGCTGCTGGAGTGACTTTGAAGTCATTTCTGGTTGGTTTGGACTGGATATAACTCTCGCGGCTGATGTGTAGTTACCGATCCTGCTAGAAGTGAGCGTTGGCCACATTGTCTGCCGAATCTCTAGCCTAGCCCACCCAGCGTCGTGGCCAGGTGGCACTTAACACCTTCCAACTAGTACAAGGAGAAATTAACAATTACGGCTGCTGAAAGATACATTTATTGACGATGGTCTGAAGAAGCTGAAAAGGTATATGGCCCTACAAAATGAAGCCGTCAAGCTCCAGTCCTCTGGAAATTATACGGACCACCATTTCTTTCAATCAGCACGGATAAAAAATTGATCATTCACTGGGAAACGCTGATGATCATTTGAGTTGACGATCTTCTTTGATCACGCAGAATCTGATCTGGCATCACTGAAAATATATAGCGTAATTCCCTTATTGATGTCTTCCAAATGATTCTATCACAGTGGATGTATTCATGCTACTCCCTTACATGAGGTCTGGCAAGTGGCAAAGCCTTGGTCAACTGTAATGTTATGAGGCAGTGAAATTTGTTATTACTTGCATTCTCTTGTCTAATTCACATGGTTCTTTGTTGGGCTAGGGAATGAAGAGACGTCATCGAATGACCTACGTTTGGAGACAGCAACAGATAAATTGTGTCGACTAACTATCCAGCTAGTCTTACATATTTATTCATTAAGTTAATACAACAATTGCAAGTGGCAAGCTATTTACTCACATGAAAATATGTAACTTGCTGCTAGAACAGCAGCATGGCTTTACACCTGAGAGACATCGCCTAGAAAATGTACATTTAATCGCAGAAGCATAGGAAGAGGCTGTGGACGATAGTCTACTAGTTTCCTCTATGAAAAGGGATGTAGGTCTAAGATATTTACGTTGTCACACTTGGTATGTTGCATCTCACAATGACCAATATACTGGTGTAACTTCATGTTACTGTCCATTCGTATTTCTGTTAGGGCTTTGCATCAAAAGGTTCAAAAGCCGTTGTTAAAAGCAATACTAGTGGAATTCAGGTCCTATTGTAAGTTTACCAGTTGCTGGATATCGCTATCAAACTAATGACATCATTTCCTTCGTGAACTCTTACAAAAGCCAAAATTTCCAGAGTGATACGTGCGTTTTAGGTGAATACAGCCTTCTAAGTTTTAAATCCAACATTCTTTGAACTTCAATCAATTGAGAATTGAATGAACGTTGGATTTTCACATTTACCGCACTTCGTTCAAGGTTGCTCTCACCATGCAAACTGACGGTTGCGTGTATTGTGATTGTCACTAATATCTCATGGTAAGTTATTCATTCTTCCTGAAAATAAGCAGGATACAAATGTTACTAATGTTTCTAGGTTATCAACACCAAAGATAATATAATTTGGTCATACAGGACTCCGATAAGCACTAGTGAAATGCCGTACTCATTAACTAATTAATTAGAGCCTTAATGCTCTACGCATTACTATCACCTGCTAATATAGCAGAACTTGAAGTTGAAATATCACAACCTCAGCCCTTTTTGAGGGAAGAATGCTTAAGCACCTTCTGAGAACCTGATATAGTAACTAGCAGCGGAATATTTCAAGTTCCTCTCATCCCACAGGTTTCTTCACCGTTTCGTATTGTCCCCATCTAGACTTATGGAAGTGTTAGTGTCAAAATACATCAGGAATCGATTTTTTATCTCACGATGTCATCCTTTTACATACCGGTGCGTCTCCCGATAGTTGACTGGCACAAACTAAGGTGAAATACTAGTAACCTGTACTCTTTTTTAGCTAAGACAGATTCTGGAAGTGTAATTATTTATACGTATGTCACAAATAATGCAGTCTACTTTAAGCGTACAATTCGTATGAAGATACCTTGGAAAATATGTGTTGATGCTCGTGTATATTACCGTCTTTTAGACAACATAAGCTACCTCAAGATATTCGAAATAAGAAATTAATTTAACTTTATTACTATAGTTAGTTCTGCATATTGCTCACCATTACATAGAATTCGTGGCGTAATTCTCTAATTACGGTGGCGACTTTTCAAACATGCTAAATAGTTCATTTCTGCACCCGTAAGTAAATTTTCATTTGCAATGTAATATTGTGTTAGCACAATAATTGGAGAAAGTTGGAGAGATATGGATGAAAAAATAGCTGTTTGAAGTAGAGAGTTACATAATGGCTTCCGTGAGGTAATGAGCAGTATGTAGAGTGGACTATCTTTGGTAAGAAAATTGAATCAGTTTCTTACGTCGGATAGCTTGAGGTTTCTGCATGCTGAAATATCCCATCCAGAGGGCTATTTGGTGTTTAGGTTACTGAGATACTGAGACAGACGGGGTAGAAATACGACATCCGTGAATTTACGAAATGATTCTCATAATATAAGCGATTGCATTTATCGGTTGTCACCAATGAGGCAATTCTAATAAATAGATCTGTGCGCTAGACAGTGTGACTCCAAATTCGTAAGAGTACTGTGAATGTATGGTTTCCACATACTAAACTAATGTCTGTTATATCTCTTCTCGCACAAATGATCTTTGTCATTTATATTTATGTAATAATCGACTCCTGCTTATACGTTAAGTTTGTTGATACTGACGATATAAATTGTTTCAAGTTGTAATCTTTACACATTTGTGTACTTGTGTATATATCATATAGGTTGTTTACTGCTATGTCTTTTAAAGAGTTGTTTTAAATTTCCATTCTGTTTAAAAGGTGACTGGTTTTGAAAAGAATATTGACGGTGTACATTATGCTTGAAAAGCCCTGCACTTAAAAGAAGACAGACCCATCCCGATCCACCCCCAAACAAAGTCATTGTTAAAAAATGGTTCAGAGATATATACTGCGTAGACTAAGTGGTGCTCGGGAGGCACAAACACGAGAAAACCAGGCAGGTTTTAGGCCAGGAAGAGGGTGTATTGATCATATCTTCACCCTTCGACAGATTCTAGAACATGGGCATTCCTACCGGCGTCCGACAATCATTATATTTCTTGACCTAAAGGCGGCATTCGATTCTGTCGACCGAGAGGTTCTCTGGTGATGCTTGGCTGTAAAGGGAATGCCGAGAAAATACATTGCACTGATTAAGGCACTCTACTTGTACTCATGCAGCCAGGTGAGGGCTTATGGCGAGTTGTCATCTGAAGTGGTGACGACTAGTGGCGTCCGTCAAGGATGCCCATTATCCCCATTCCTATTCAACTTCATCATAGACGTACTAATGGACTTAACCCTAACACACTTCAGCGACTCAGGGATTGACTTGCTACCAGGGAATAATCTCGTCGACTTAGAATATGCGGACGATATAGTCCTTCTAGGCGAGGACTCTGACAAAATGCAGAGTCTACTGAACACCTTGAGCAGCAATCTTCGTATGTTTGGCATGCGATTCGCCCCTGTAAAATGTAAGGTGATGCTACAGGATTGGACTTCACCGACCCCTAGATTAGAAATAGGAAGTGAAGTGGTAGAGCACGTTGACCGCTTCACTTACTTGGGAAGTACCATCAGCCCCAACGGGTTGATCTCCGACGAAATCTCAGCACGAATACAGAGGGCTAGTTTCGCATATGCCAGTTTACGCCGTCTCTGGCGTAGACGTGATATCCGACTATTGACCAAAGGGCGTGTGTACTGCTCAGCAGTCCACTCCGTCCTCCTTTATGGCTGTGAGACCTGGCCATTGAGAGTGGAAGACATGAAAAGATTAGCTGTCTTTGATCATAGGTGTCTGCGTTCTATCTCCCGCATGAAGTGGTATAATAAGGTGAGCAATATTGAGGTTAGGCGTCGAGTGCTAGGTAAGGAGGGGAAATCAATCAACGAGGCTGTGAAATTACATCGACTGAGATGGTTAGGACATGTGTTACGTATGCCTAGTCATCGCCTTCCTCGACGGGCAATGTTGGCTGATATAGGGCCAGACTGGAAAAGAGCTAGAAGCGGTCAAACGAAAACATGGCACCAGTTAATGAAATCCACAACAGTTAGTCTAAGCCACGTAGGAAGGTGTACACTTCCTGGTTGGGGTCCTCGGGACGGTAAAAACCAATGGTTGGAAACAATTGGTGACACGGCTCAAAATCGTTCTCAGTGGCGCAGATGGCGACTTGAACTGCCGCACATATGTGCAAAGTTCTATGTCGAAAACCGACCGATCAGAGATATATAACCAGTCGAGAAATGTGGTAATGTGCTTTGCGAAACAGCATTAAGGCGTCTCCCCGGTTAGTGGTGCTATAGAACATTTTTGCACTGACCCTTACTTTAAGGTTAAGAGACGAAATGGTTGAATGGTTCAACTACCTTGTATACAAAAGACTCGTTTGGCGTTCACAAAGTGAGATGGTTAGGACGTGTGTTACGTATGCCTATCCATCGCCTTCCTTGACGGGCAATATTAGCTGACATAGGATTGGTCAGGTAGGAAAAGAGTTAGCCAGCGGTGGTCAAACCAAAACATGGCTTCATCAGTCAATGAAATCCACAACAGTTAGTTTAAGCCACTTAGGGAAGTGTAGACTTCCTGGTTGGAGTCCTCGGGGGGATAAACACCAATAGCTGGAGACAATTGGTGATATGGCTCAAAATCGTTCTCAATGGTTGGTGTAGATGTATCCACTCCTTGTGACTTATAATCTCCAATAAAACTATATTGTTCTTCGATATTACTATTTTTTCTGCCTCATATCTCTGTTTACTGTCTCTATTTTGCGTTTCTTTTTACTTTCCTCCCTTACTTTGTGTGCTACATGGAGTGTGGCTTCTCGAATTGCTGCACATCGGTACAAAGTTCTATGTTGAAACCAGTCAGTCACAAACTTGTATTATTTTAAGAACGGCTGTAATATATCTTTGTCAATCAAACGTGGGTGCGTTATATGCAGTAATTCACCCTCCTAATAAAAAGGGGCATTACCTTTACAAGATGAGTGGTTTTAGACTGTAGCTCCTGTTAGACCCCACTTTAAGCGGAATAATGTGGTAATTAATAATAAGGTTGTGTAGATTGTGACGCAAGGAGGGGAGACCAGTCAATGAAGGTGCAAAGTCCCGCTGATTGAAATGGTTGGGATATGTATTTCTCATGGGAACCCCCCGCTTTCCACTGCGAGTAATGTTAACTGAAAGTGAGTTAGGTCGGGAAAGTTGAGACTCAAACGAAAACGTGACACGAACTAATGAAACCGTTTGTTGTTGGTTTTAGGCAGGTATAGACTGTCTGATTGAAGACTTTGGATGCTAAAAATCGGTGGTTGGGGACTGTCGGTAAGTGGTGTGGGTAGTTCGCAGTTCTATCCGTGTACTTACCCACTGTCATCAATCAGGTTTGGGAACTCATTACTCTTTATCTGATCATTCTCTTTCGTCTGTTCCCATTCTCTGTAGTTTAAAAAATTTCTTTCCTCTACTCCTACGGTTTCCTGAAATTCAGCAACTTGAGCTGATATACCTTTTTTTCAAAGTTCTCCGTCAGTTATTGTAGCTTAAAATTTATCCACCTAATGGGACAAATTATCGAAAAACGAATTTTAAGTACTTAAGCATCATAAAGCCTAGTTCCTTTCGAAGGTAATGGTGGCGCTTTAGTCAGGAGGCTGACTAGATTGCTTGGGAAAACACGGAAGGTTGAGATTGATCTTGAGTATGCAGAAATTATCGTCTTGCTGTGCGATGACACACGACCTTTCTAAAATGTACCAGATCAGTTGGCGATTATTACTTGTAAGTTTGATATGCGCTTGCAATGTCCAATGCTTCAAAATTGGGAGAAGCTTGTGCCTGCGCTCACCTTAGCAAATAAACGTAAAAGTACATGTATTCATGTAGTTATATGAGTGCTTGAGGAGGTGAAACGGATAAAAGTTTCCGATTGTATAGTAGAAGGCTGAGAGGCTTATATGGATCTGGTTTACCTCTAGTACCATTGTGACACCAATCTGTCCACCAAAGCCAAGTTCACAAAACTTTAGTGCTTGTATTCTTACTCCCTACAGAGTTAAGGATTTGTGTTGACCGTCTATTCAGTCTGTGCTGTCTCCGTAGGATTACTTTCACTAAGTGTAGGCGATTATAGGGCGTGTTGGGTTATGGTGAACATCACTTTTCAATAAGTGATATCAACTTAGGACACCAGCTTTAGTGATTTGGTCATGTAACGGAAATGTCAATCCAATGGTTTCCATACCGTATAGTTTGCTAACCCCGGAATTCAGTTCCGCAACTACTTTATTTCTCATCTTCATCTTTGTTTTCTTGTTATTTTCGTGGCATATTCCTTGATGTTTTTATGCTAAGTAATAAATAGACTGTTGATGGATGTCTCACAAATGTGCGAAGTTACCCTTGGTGATGAGGCCCATCAATCTAAGCATTCAACTCACACTTACTGAGTTTACAGGCTCAAACTTTATTCCACTTACTGAGGTATGAAGAGTCAGGTCGTATCTCTTGTCGCATTACTTATGTGACTCGTTGTCTAATAGACTGTCTCTTATAATGGTTGGGTTGCGTTCGATTTCAATATTTTCTGTATGCTATGATATAAATTTTGCTGTTGAATTTAGCTCAGTCCTCATGATTGGAAAGTGTATTCCTCTGGTATGTTTTTAGAGATATTTCATTACTGTATAGTTGTATAACAAGGTATCAACTATGTTTTGTCATTTACAGATTTTCAAGAGTTGTTTTGTAAGGATTAGATTTATTTTTACGAGTTTGACTACGGATTGTTATCAGTTAGAGAACCAGTACTCTCTGATCTTCAGTGGTTCTCTAACTGATATCAATCCGTGGTCAAACTCGTAAAAACAAATTCACAGATTTCATTTAACCATTTCAACTGTAAAAACAAAGAATTCTGCGAAGAAAATTCTCTTTTGGGCGATTTCATTTCCATAGCTGTACAATCGTATATATATATATATACATATATATATATATATATATATATATATATATATATATATATATATTAAAATAGACAATAACGTTCATTTTTTCGTGTGTGTGTGTGTATGTGTGTTAAAGTTTGACAGTGAGTAGAAATACTAAAGCGCGATAATATTGGTGTATCTGATTATGATTCACAATTGATTAGATATATGAATGAATAACCTAATAAGTAGATATCAACATTAAAGTTCAATAGACATGTGTGAAATAGATGATAAGAAAAAAATAAAGTACATTTGGAAATGTCAGTGTGAATATAATATGATGGAGACATAAGATGAATGAAATGTTGAAATAGTAGATTAAATAAAGTGTTAGAATATGATAACATAAAGTGAAATAAAATAAAACGGAAATGGAACATGGAATATAGAAGCATAACAAAGCTTTGGGGAATCACTTGGTAAAATCGAGACCATGATAACGAAAGAAATCGTACAAACTGTCTTGGCACACAAAGTTCTGGCTTTATGTTGTTATGTATAGCCAAAGCCTGTGCTATACAAAGCAAATGCACTCGTGTTCCTTTCGGTGAACTTTGTGGATAATATTAAACGATGTATGAGATGCTGCGTGGTCACTATCTTCTGTATGTTGCAGTGTCGATGAATTAATATCTTTACTCAGCTAAGCTGGGAGGTGCTCGACAAACGTCCTATTAACCTAACTCGGCAAGAACAGGTGAACATATAAATATACATGGAATTAGACAATCGAGGTAATATTTCCTTAACATTAAGGTGCACTAGTGGACGACTAGACTAGGTTATCCGTAAAGCCGTCGCAGAGAACGTTTTTCTCAATGATCTTGTCAAACGATTTTTAAGTACCTAAACTCTAAATTTAATTGCAACACTTTTCTAGCTACCTTGTCCTTCTCTGTATTCTCTCCACGTAATTTGCTATTGGCCTCTACGAAGCGTAGTGAATACCCGTTTTCTATGAAAATTTCTGATTGTTTTTGTTTATTGTAATTCACATATATATGTATATTTATATGCGATTGTGCAGGTATAAAAATGAAATCGTCGAAAAAAGAATTTTCTTCGCTGAATTCTTTGCTTTTAATGTCTCCATGGGGATTACCAATTTCATTTTAACTATTTTAGTTATCAGCATTTTTAAGATACGGTGGAGTATTACTTTACTTTACTTCGGCCGGAGGATGAGCCGGCTTCATGAACATCTCGAATCATGGTGAGAGTCGTTTGTGAGGGAGTTCATGAAGTTTCATGGGAATTTGGTACGAGTGATGTCCCCAGAATCGCTCGGCCTTTTGTTTGAGAGTGCAGCTCTAGCCTTTACACAACCAAGTGTGACCTACAAGGCAGTAGGAGTGGAGTGGGGAGTCCACTATCCATTGGCAGCCGGTGACTGGAGTTCGGTTCATACGCCTTTTTGAATGAGGCCAGACATCCAACAAGCCCTTTGTCCATACGTCTGCTGGTGAGCTCCAATGAGCTTCATACACCAGTCGTTGGAGGTTTGGAATCAGGGTTTAGCCATCTCCCCTAGACTGTCATCCAATGGACAGTCAACCCGGTGAAGAGCGCCGGGCATCCGCTTTCGCCCTCTCACTTTGGTGAAAAGCACCTCCGCCACGTGGAGTATTCACTAAATACGACATGATATAGGGTTATACGACACTGAAGTATTAGTTCTGTTTTCCCGTCCTTTTCCTTAGTATCTTCCTCTGTATACTAGATAAGACATGTGGCAACCTGGACCAGTGCATTTTTAGCTTTATGTCATATCAATGATTTCTAGTTGCTGTTGAGGTAGAGTATTACTAATGCGATTTAGGCCACATTTCTGTCTTACAATTCTGTAAACATTACTACAAATTAAATTAGTCTAATATCTTTGAGAAACACTACAGTAGGAAAATATTTTTGCACTTTATCTCAAAACACATAGTCATTCATTTAAAAGGATAATACACGCTTGTAATCGTTTTCTGTCCATACCTAGTTCCATGTTATTTTCTGATTAGTTTTTTTTGCAGTAAGTATTATGATTTAGTTCATATCTGATTCGAATATCGAAGTTGGATCATTTGCATATTTGTTTTTCAGTGTATAGATCCAGTCGATTGTGAGTTGACTCTTCTATTCTTATCTTTAATTGTGTAATAGCATGTTTGTATAAGCACAAAGCATTGCATAATAATAACACCGCTTAATTTGATTTCTGATCTCCTTATATACGTCTATGTGTGTACACTCAGTACCTGGTTGCAGACATCTTTTGTGTTGTTGTTGTTGTTGCTAAATGTATCTAAATGTTGTGAGCAGAAACTGTTGCATGCTTTAGGGTGTGTTCTTTGCTTAATTTCTACTTTTTATTTGTTGTTCAATTGTGTAGATTTCCTTACTTTAATGTATGTTTTTGATTCAATCTTTTGTTAGATAAAGAGGAGAACATCGTGGTTAGTAGTCTCCTTTTATTAATTGGATAGAATGCCCATGTGATATAAATAAAAAAGACACATCAGCAGGGAATATTCTTTGCGTAACTTTTCGTACAGTTCAGTAGTATTTTTAAAAGTCCACAGTGAATGCCATCAAGGTCAATTGTTTTTATGTTAGTTGGTAGTGAAACATACAAAATTCCAAATCAGGAAGAAAAAAAAATGGATAAATTGTGAAACTTGATAAAACAGTCTTATATAATCTAGAAACATTGAGTAATGAATATCTCATCGAAGTGGCTTATAAACTAGGAAACGGAGTTTTGTTCATAAGAGTAGAAAATTCAAAATATGTATAAGCTGACCCATCTTTTTAATTAGATAAAAGTAGAGTGTCAGTCACTAAACTACAGTCTGATGAGTTCGCTATATTATTTCTGCCTAACAGGGTAAAGGGATTGACTTCAGCTACTTAGATACTGAGAACCTACAAACTAGAATGAAATCAATAGTTGTCTAGTGCTTTTCAGTGTTCAGCACTTAATACTTTGCTATGGGATATTATCCGTCTCTTCATTAATTTTTTAGCAAACAAATACTATCGATGTGGGTGTAAATCATTTTGTTGATATTCCAAATGTTAACAATTCTGTATCGCAATACTGTTATGACAATATCTATCCGTTGAATCAATATGCTAACGGTTATATATCCAATGTAAACGAAAGTAGTCTACATATACTTAATTTAAATCAAGACATTCCTCCTTCACACGTTATATGTTCTTCAAGTGTTGATTTAAGGCATATCAACAGCTATCCAGTGTATACAATCCCTTCATCATCTTCATTCTCTTTGGTCTCTCCGTCAAATTTCTCAAAGAAATTTTGTATTCCTACAAGTCATAAAACACCTGTCTCTGAATTTCCGTCATCGAGTGATACATATATTAGTTCGAGTCTTGTTTCTAATAATTTACAACCACATCATGATTTTACCGATGGATTATTCTACTGCCCTACAAATAGTACAAATTACCCCGTAACTAGTATAACATCCTGTCCACTCGAATTTCCTACTGCAACATTTACAGAGAACAACCAGTCGACAAATATTACTCAACCTTCCTCACCTTTTGTACATATTTATTGTTCACCCTATCACCAAGAATATTCTACCTTCGATTATCATGGATCTTATTTCCCCTCGGTAACAAGCTCTTCCCAACACTCATCCATATCAAGTCTTAACGACCATTCGTTTACTGTTCCTGCGGATCCTATCACTCAGCCTTTTTTCTATCCAGTTCATTCCAACTGCTCGTATAGTATGGATCAGTCAACTAGTGAACCTTCAAATTACATGCTGGACGTTGCTACGGGTAATGGTGATGAGGTATGTGATAATAATTGTTATACATTTCACACTTCATTTGGTCTGTTTGGAGATGAGACAAGCGAAAACAACTTGCAGCATCTTCATCAACACTCTGTAACAGATTTAAATAATGTGGACAAAATAAATTCACAGGTTCATCAGACAGATCAACAGTTGTTATCATCATCTGCATCATCGTCATTCATAGAGTCTTCAATATCAGATATTGATTTGTACAATTTAGAAGAATTGTTAGCTAGGACATCGATTGCTGATGCCTATCTGGGACCTGTTAGAAATAAGGATGGGAAATTCATCCCCTTAGATTCTGAAAGTCGTGCAATTTTTAGCAATAATCTAACATCTTTACCTTATTCTTCAACATCACTCGCATTTTCTCCTCCGGGGATACAAATTATTACAGAGATGTGGTCTATATTCCTACGGGATCGTCTAAGTCAATGTAATAACCGTATACATAACATGTCCATGGATGTTCTACGTAATTGTCTACATGATCATGGCTTAAATCAACTGGGCTGTGGAACTGTGTTAAAACGTCGCTTGCAAGAGTTTGTACGACGAGCACGTGTAGCTCAGTCAATTGCTCATAATACTGAGATCCAGTTCAGTGATGATGATGATGGTAATGATAATTCTGAAGACGTTGAAAACAGTATCGGTAATGCTAATCATGAAAGCAGTGTTCTCGGTGAGGTGAATTTAAACTCACAAATAACTAACACTAGTGGAAATGATAAAATTAAATTGAAAAAATCACCGATCAATGCAATGACAAAATTATCAAAGCCGGTTATACTGACACCAGATACATTTTATTCATATCTGCTTATAATCGACTTAGAAGCTACCTGTGAATCAAGGGAGAAAATCATCAGTGATAATGATTATCCACATGAGATCATTGAATTTCCTATATTATTATACAATACAAGATTACGTAAGTGTGTGAGTGTATTTCACGCTTATTGTAAACCGAAATTACATCCTGACTTGAGTGAATTCTGTACAGATCTAACTCAGATTCATCAAGTTCAGGTGGATAATGCTCAACCATTTCCTCATGTTTTAGTACAAATTGAAGAGTGGTTGTTTAAGCAACATCAGTTAGCTGACATGAGATGTGCTATCGTCTGTGATTGTAACGCTGACATGAGTAAATTTATGCGTATTCAGTGTCGTCTGGCTAATATACCTTTGCCTAGTTGGGCTAATGTATGGATTAATTTGACTAAATCATTTCGTACCTTCTACAAGTTTCCAGCATATTATCGCATAACATTGAATGTTATGTTGCATGATTTAAATTTATCTTTTGTTGGTCAACGACATCGTGGTCTAGATGATGCAATTAATATACTACGTGTTGTACGTACATTATTGGCTGACGGATGTCAGCTGCGTGTCAATGAACGCATCGACTTCAATAAACCACCTTCCTTTGTCTCATCTGTACCAAGGGCTGTAGCTGAAGTAACATCAGGTGTAATGGGTAGTAAACTAGTCCTGTTATCATCATCTCCACGCAAAAGTAAACTGAATAATGGAAATCGTAATCATGAAAATCCAAAAGTATCATCAGCATCTGCTAATCTTGACGACAGTCATCGTGAATCGTTGTTGTGGTTGGCTAACGTTCAGAAAACACGAATTCCTAGAGGTGACTAAATATGTTAACTTCTGGATAATATTCTTTTCTATCTTGCTATGTACTCTCTCTCTCTCTTTTAGTTTCAAAATTCTACTTCACATTCTTTATTTTATTTTATTTAAAAGAAAATTTATTCGCTCACACAATTGTCCCATTGCTCTCTTTTCAAGTTTGCAGTTTTTGTCACCCCTTATAACTATACTACTTTATATTTAAATGAATACTATAAGTAATACCTAAAGATTATTAGAGACTTTAACATTTGTAAAAGTCATAGAGGAATTCAACGGGATGTAAACGTATCTATCATACAAGGGATAGTTTTCTTTTTTTTGTAATTTGGTTCTCCTTCTTTCCTTCCTTGTATTTTTTATTTTTAACTTTTGCTTTGTACCAAAAAAGCAATGCTACCCAATGTTTAATTTAATTAAATTGATTTGTAAAGGTAATTGAAAAAAATAAGGAAGGAAGGAAAAGAATATTACTTCCACATTCTTTTGCTTTTTGTGATCAAGTATATTTTATTTTGTTGCTGAGTAGTATATACATTGGAGTGGATAAAAAAACAGAGGTTTCTGGATGTCTGATTTACTATTTTACTCTTCTTCACGGTATTATTTTGTGTATGCGTAATTTGATTACGTGTTCCCCCCCCTCCCCCTTTTTATTTCACTCTGTCTCCTTTGTTCAATATTTTCGTAACAGTGGCGATAATTTTCATTTCCTTGTATGAGATTAAAAGTGAGGTGTGTGTTTCGCTATCTGTTGAATACTATTGACAGACAGATTGTGTATATTGAAAGATGAGCATGTTTATGCATGTATGACACATGCTTATATTATTATATAGATATAGATATATATACACATAAGTGTATATCATGAACTGTATGTGTATACAAAAGTGAAGAGTAGTCTAGTGTCTTCAACTTTCTACACATATTACAACAACAACTACTACTACTCTTTCAACTGTTTAAACTATTAATATTATTGCAATTACTATTGCTATTATGATGATTTATTGAAATAAAGATTAAAGCTATTACAATTGTCTGATGATGGTGGTTCTCTTCTGACTAACTAGTGGACGGGTTGTTGTATTCAGCTGTAACTTGTAGTGTCTGTTGTGTAGTACTGCTCAACAGTCCGCTCCGTCCTCCTTTATGGCTGTGAGACCTGGCCATTGAGAGCAGAAGACATGAAAAGACTAGCTGTGTTCGATCATAGGTGTCTGCGTTCTATCTCCCGCGTGAAGTGGTATAATAAGGTGAACAATATTGAGGTTAGGCGCCGAGTGCTAGGTAAGGCGGGGAAATCAATCGACGAAACGGTGAAATTACTTCGACTGAGATGGTTAGGACATGTGTTACGTATGCCTAGTCATCGCTTTCCTCGACAGTGGGCAATGTTAACTGATATAGGGCCAGGCTGGAAAAGAGCTAGCGGCGGTCAAACGAAAACATGGCTTCATCAGTCAATGAAATCCACAACAGTTAGTCTAAGCCACGTAGAAAGGTGTATACTTCCTGGTTGGGGTCCTCGGGACGGTAGAAACCAATGGTTGGAAACAATTGGTGACATGGTTCAAAATCGTTCTCAGTGGCGCAGATGCATCCACTCCTTGTGACTTATGATTTCCAATTAAACTGTTTTGTTCTCCGTTATTACTATTCCTTTGTCTCACACCTCTGTTTACTGTCTATATTATGCATTTCTTCTACTTCTCTTGCTTTGCGTGCTACATGGAGTGTGGCGACTTGAACTGCCGCACATATGTGCAAAGTTCTATGTCGAAAACAGACAGACAGTGATGACCAGTGGTACGTACTGCTTGTTTGTTGAAACAGAAATAAAGAACTCCGTAGCTGAATAACTTGATAATCAAGTGGCCAAAAATACTCGGTTTTATACTGTTCACAATTGAATTTCATGTCAAATTTTTTTATTTTTTATATACGTATACGTGTTAGTACGATTAGAGTTTATTCAATGCACTAAAATCTACTTAAAGTTAATATATATCCACGTGTATATTTCTTGAACCGTTGAAGGTTTAAGTCAATAAGCCACAGTAGCAGTCAACTTTCACGTTACCGTTACACGCGTGACTATTCCTTCGGATGACAAATATGATCAACTGAAAATTATGAGTTGATAAGGCTTAAATTATCCAGTGACCCGCAGATGTATTCATTATTTATCGTTAAAATGCTAAACATCATTAGATTTCGTGGGGTGCATTTTTCTTTCAAACATGTTCGTCTACCTTCTCTCTTTAGTATTCTAGCACTATTAGGAATCTCCTACTTGAGGCCTCTGGTGCTCCCTCTTTATATGGCAGTGTTATCGAGGCTTTGAATCCCTCATAACTTACATTACTTACACTACTACCCGTATATTTTACTTATGGGCCCTAATACATCTTCGGCTAAAATCTGGTGGGTCGTTATTCCCTAGGAATGTTTATCTTATTTGTTTGATTTCATTATTTAAATCTCCCACCAGATTTTAGCCAGAAATGTATTAGGAAAATAAGGGTAGTAGTGTGAATAATGTAAATAGTAAGGAATTCAAAGCCTTGATAGAACGGCTATATTAAGAAGGAGCATCAGTATCCCTACGTAGGACTCATAATAAGTCTAAGATTAGGATGACACTCGGAGACAAATTTTGTCGAGTTAAGGATGTAATATACAGAATACCATGCAATGACTATCAGGTCAAACTAGTAGATCGGGGTCAGCTGGATTATCAGAACGTGCGAATTTAGCTAAGACTGAAGTGATTTACCCCGTGCTAAGTTAAGTAACCTAGAAAGAAACTCGGCCATTGCAATGCATTCACTTGCGTGCAATCACACAATGGAGTGAGGCAGGATAAAAGTATTAAGAAGTAATGTAGGTAGGTAGAGAGTGAGAGGTCAGTCATCGAATTTTCGTCCCTTGAATCAACACCAAACACGTGGAATCGAAATGACGTAACGCCCATACGGAGTATATGGAGAATCGCAATAGAAAAATGAGCGAATAGGACTATCAATTGTTCAAATCGCAAAGATCCTGGACCTATCTCTGGTTTCAGAAGTCTATGCCTAACATGCAGAATATTATGCACAGTAACCGACGCGGAACAGTAGAAAACGGCAGGGTAATACGATCGTTTATTCTTCCACCGGTAACGAAACAGATCTACAAGTTACTGTCAGCAAAGTCTGTAAATAGACGTTAGTATGTTTTACAATAATACTTCTGATCGTATTTCTGTAGTCTTCTGCCAACCAGTATACGATTAACCAACGATAACCATCTTGTCTCCCGCCTATTCGAATAAACAAACGATTCAATGTTGACAGGGCTTTAAAAAACGAGTCAGGAATTTCTGTGTATACACTGAAATGAAACGTTATCAGTCATATCTTCACCCTTTAGGACAGTTCAATCAAACTCATGCAGCTATGCAAGAGCTTATGGGGAGTTGTCATCTGTAGTGGTGTCCTTTAGGGGTACGTAATGTCACCATTTTTAAATTTTATTTCATCACCGATGTACCGATGAATGTGACTTTCGTCGACATTCACAACTTAGGGATTGACGGATGATATTGTGCTTCTAGGTGAGTGCGTTTATAAAAAACTGTAAACTCCTTGAATATGTATGGCAAACAATTCGACGCTGGTCAAATGTAAGATGATGCTACAGGACTGATGTTCATCCACTCCTAGTTTAAGGATAGGGAATGAAATGGTTGAATATAACTGATCAAGCAATATTTTCAACCTAATCCTACAACAGATCACTCACAGTCAGAACAGAATGTGATTTAAGGCTACAGTTTAACTCAACGTGAAATATACACATCGGATATGTGTAAAAGCATTGTTGATAAGAAAATTTCCGTAAAACTAAATAAGAGAAAAGGATTGGAATAAAGAAAGTCATTGTATATTAAGTCATGAAAGGATTAATGCATTCATTAAATCAGTGAATGGCTACTTCGAGGTAGGACTGCCCGTTCGACGTTCACTACACCTTCAATAGTGTGTGTATTGCGATGGAATCACCACTAGAACCAATACTGGCACAATGTTTTATGTCAAAACTGGAAAAGACTCAGCTTATTAAGCTACTGGATGCTTTGACATTTACAGAAACCAAACATTTTTCTTGTGATAGGGATATTGATCTGGCAGACATTTTGCTATCATTCAATACAACCTTAAAATTTGCCCGAGAAAAGAAATCAGAATTAGTCAATTCGTTTTTCCTAAAAGACCTATCCATTGAATATTAGATATACTATTAGCCAATTTTCATAGTTGGCTGCATATCTCTAGAAAAAGAAACTACATGTTAAATGGTAAAAATTTGCAGCTCATGCTCTTCGGACACAGAACTTTCCAGTTCTGAAAGCCATGGTTGCTGAAAACTCCTACTCCAATTGTTTAATTAATAAAAACATGAAGGAATATAATTTCAAACTGGTCACTCACTCAGTTTCTTAGAAAACCATTTTCACGATCAGGTTTCTAAATTAGTCAGCAAGACGCTTTTCTCTGCAAAAGTCCGGTTGGCTTCAACTAGCGGGGAGCTGTTCTCCACTTATGTGAAAAATAAATCCCCTTGTCTGTGCATTCGCCAGTTTACCTGCTACTGTTGCGCAAGGTACACTGGGTGTAGCTAGAGAATGCTTTCTATACGGATGGAAAAGCATATACTAGTGTGGTTTTATAAGGAAGAAATTGAAGCTGCGTGAAGTTCTTTATTAGAATAGTTGATTAACTTTCAACACTCAATTAATCGTGATAATAATTTTCAGATTGTTCACTGATTTCATTCAAACCTGTGTCATCTCCGTTTCTAACTCCGTAAAACAGCAAAGACGTTGGATGTTCATTAAGTGGGGCTAGAACTTTGTGTAGAAAGAAATATGTAGAGTCTCTCTTCTTACTTTGGTTTTAGAAAGAGGGGAAAACAGTTATTTGCTTATTTTTTTTCAATTATTATTATTATAATCTTCACTTAAAACAGTTTCCAATGTTATTTAAGTTGTCTCTTTCAGTAGTTCACTTTTTTGTGACAAAAACATTGTGTTTTAACTACCTTTTCTGACCTTGTTGTGTAGTGTTTTTTATTTGCCAAGTAACCCTCCCTAGTTTAGAAAAATATATAGCTTGCGAGTAAAAGCTTTGAAGAGGGTCTCTTCGCTGATATCATATTCTTGATGTTACAACGGAAATTATTAAGTTATTTTCACCTACATCAATGACGTGGTACAGCCGAGGTTGAATCGACTCCGGTCCTCCTCTAGAAACACTCTCATGTGGCTATTCATTCACAGAATCTGCTAGGTAGGTCCTATTCACAACTTTTCAGAGGCAGGAGGGTGTTCTCAAAAACGTGAAAAGATAGGAAGCAGATTTTCGGCGCTTTTCATCAGATTGGTGAACATAAGAGTCAACCCAACTCAGTCGAATATACTTGTTCCAAATGGACTCTAGATTACGAAAGGGATGAACTTGATTTAAGCACTGGAACTATGGAACACTGCTCGTGACTCCACTCTCCTGCTTTGTGAATTAGACTTCAAGTTAAAGGCTCGGGATGTAGTTTCTTAAGGCAACTACCTGATTCGGTCCCACCAGTATCTAAACCCTCGAGCAAATCATGGAACAAACATCGGTGGAAAATTTTACTCGCGTTCATACTCACAAATTATTTCACCGATCGTGTATTCAGCAATTCGATCTTTTATCATTGTACTTTTGTCCCTTATATTAATCATTTTTGCTATGACCGGAACTACGACCTAGTAGACTATGAGCGAATACTAACTTAATGCTCAGGTTAATCTGTCCTAATCTCACGTCAACAACTACGACAATAACACCGCCGGCACGCAAAGGGTAGAAGAGAAGACTGGACGCTGATAAGAGAGCTTTTAAAGTCTCAAAACAACGGTCAAAAAAGTTGACAGCACTTGCGTATATATATATGTTTAAAATGACCTTGAGAGGCACTAATGCCATTGATAAATTAAACAGTGAACA